TTTGGCTACTACCTGATCACCTCTCTTGTCCATAGTACGGCTTCCCCACCATGAGGACCACGCGTTTACGTCGCCGCCAAGTATCACGTCGGCAGTACCCAGCCTCTCCACGACAGAGCCAATCGAGTCCAGGTAAGGTTCAATGGGCTTATTCGGCTCCAGGTAGACGGACACCAAGCCTACCGTCCACGCCTCGGACCTCACTTTTGCAACTGCAATGTTACAAGTAGTGAGGTCCGGGCAATGGGTGATATTCAAGGTGCCGTCGAATAGTACAATGGCTGCTTTAACCACTCCATCCTCCGCTAGGTTTGCAGCACATTGTACTACTCTTGTACCTGGATGCTGCCTCATCTTCCCAGTGTTGCCAGTATACGGCTCCTGAACCAAGGCAAAGGAAAGTTTCCTTTCCTTTGCCTCTGTGACAAACATACATTAAAGGCTAATTTGACTATGTTACCTCTGTTCTTGTGTGAGCCTATCAATCTGTGGATACGTCTCGTCCAGTCCGCGGCGCAGTGTGGTGAACGCGTGCTCTTGTTGCCCGCGCGCCCAGTACATTTTAGATTTCTCAATAAACAACTCTTCAGGATGATACTCCTCAGCATTCAGGATATACATGTAAGACTGAAATAAGAGAAAATGAAAAAAAAAATTGACATTATGTCCATCATCAAAGTACATATTAGCTTAATATAATAGAAGAATTAAAATAAAATAAGTATATTTACTATAGAAATATATGTTAGGCTATTTGATGTATAATTCCTCTCTCTCTCTCTCTCTCTCTCTCTCTCTCTCTCTCTCTCTCTCTCTCTCTCACACACACTCTACTTTTATAACTTTTTTTCTATTTGGTGGTGGAATCTACTTTCTTTATTAGTTTACTTCACATCACTTTAACCTATTTTTTAAAATAGCGAAGTGACCGCTGCTCAACCTCATGCATATATTTTACCTACGGTATGTACGACGAAAGTACGATAGGGAAATAAAATTTGTCTTACCTGTTGATATATGCCCGCTTTCCTAGCGTGCTTAGCGCTCTGAAGCCAAAGGTCGCCTATACTGGCCTTTAAGCGATTCGCCGTCATTGGATGTGTCGGTTCCAATAACTCCTGGAAATATTTATGTGAAAATTGAAAAATGTCGGAATTTAAGATACGAATCTAAAAAAAACAATTTCTTAGTACGATACATCTGCCAATGCGGTTATCTATGGACAGCTGTCACTTCGGCGACTCGTGCGATGTTCCAAGCCGCCAAGATATTTGATTTCTACTATACCTGTGTCTGTTGCAACAATATCCTCCTGAGTCTGAGCAAAGGCTCCACAGTGCGCACATCTGACTGCACCACAGCCAGACGCCGCCGCCATTCGTCTAACAGCTGACTTAGTATCGCCTCACCTTCATTATCACCATCCGTTAAGTTCTTTAATCTAGAAATCATATAATAAATAATAAAAATTAAAAAATAGTTTATTTATTTTGTAAAGGTAGAGAGAGATAGAAATATGTTTTCGTCGCAAACATTTTTAAATGATTTATTATAATGTATAACATTCCTAATATTATAAATGCGAAAATGTAGATAGGTGGATGGAAGGATGACTGTTTCTTAGAAGGTATCTTTACAACGGCTCCAAGGATGCTGATGAAATTCGGCACATACGTAGAACATAGTCTGGAAGAACACATAGGCTACTAAATAAGATTTTTTTAAACTCCGCGAGGACGGTGTCGCGGGCGACAGCTAGTTATAGTTTTAAATAATAAATTCTAATCTTTTTACTTCTCCTTACCTACAAAGAACTTCTTCGGCGTGTTCCGCTTCTTTAACGATATGCAAGCCTAGTACACTTTGGTAACCGCTACGTAAAGCACTTTCCCCTCTGCTCTTCCCGTCCATTTGTGATAGTAACTTGCTGGTAGCGTCCTTGCAGGATACTACGAAGGTATCGTGATCCTGTTTACGATACGCTAGTAGCACTCGACCCATTAGTAGACCCCAATTTTCTCGAGATGGAGGCTGGAATTATAATACGAATTCATTAAAATAGATAAAAAAATGTAATAAAGAAACCATTAAGTTATTACACTATATGATATTGTATTTTAAATTAATTAATTTTTAAGTTACAACCCAAATATCTTAATTTTTATTCGAAATTGATAGACAGGTGTACAAAAAAAACTGTTCAAATATAATTTTTCTATATAGCAATTTTACTAATCTTACTATTGTAAATATTAATATTTGGATGGATGCCTTGCATCGAAATCTAAGCAAAGAGCCTAGGCAAAGCCAAAGTCTACATTACGTCTTAAAGTATAATTTAAAAGTAAAGTTTACTTACAACAGGTTTCTGAGTGAGTCGATCTAGTTCTTCGAAGCGTCCGAGCCGCCACAGGGGCTCCGCAGCCAGCTCCGTCATATCATCAGAGTCACGCTCACTCAGCAGCCGGTGCGCGGTGAACGGCTGGTCCAGGCTCAAGTAGCAATCTATCATACCCTGATACCAAACACCAAGATATTTACTTACTTATAGAAGTTACCTAACCCGAGTTTCTCACTTATAAAAACCGGACCGGACAATAACTATCTTACTAACATTATAATGCGAATGTTTGGATGGATGAACGTTTGTTAGAAGTTACTAAATCAGTCTTTTATTTTTAAATGCCGCGGGCGTCAGCTAGTTGCTTATGAATATTAAAATACCTACTAAAATACAGAAATTAAATTCCACCATGTCTTATCTAGATTTTTATTTCTTAGCTGTTTGAGACTGTTCGAATATTTTTTTACAAAGTAGTTTAAATTTTCTCTACAACTGGTAAGTTCAGTAATCGGTCTAAGTATATTAAAGTTATATTTTAAAAGTATTTTAAAAGGTAAAACATTAAAGTAATCTTACTTGCATGCTATTCCTGTCAAGCTGTCCCTCCTGGGCCAGTCTCTCGTAGCATAGCGCGGCGTCCTGCAGTCTGCCAGTCACCACTTGAGCGAGGATTAACTCTTTCAAAGATGGCTCCGATCTTTTTATTGATAAAATACCTGTGTCAAATGAAATTTCTAAATAGTTAAAAAACATATATAATATCTATTCCAAGGTTAACGGCGTGATTTTTCTAATCAAGCGATTGAGATTAAAAAAAAAACGATAAATAAACGCTTAACAAATGCATATTAAATAATACTGTCGGTAGATGGAAATAAACGAGATGTAATTATACGGTCGGAAAATGAAATGTCATTTCTACTATTAGCAAACACTACAACCTAGAAACCCAGGGACCTGTGGGCCTAGCACGAATATTTCTGACAATCTCCTTCGTTTTTATCTACAATCACGTCGAAATTAGTATATTATTTTCGTATACATTACGCCCGATAGGGGACGCTGCATAAATTTTGTCAATGTTAAGATGGCAATTGTCACAAATATTCGTGCTAGGCCCACTCAGAAATAACGATAAACAACTCACCTGCAACAGAATCGGGTTCATCTAACAATGCATATATCTCGGCCAACAAAGGTAATTGTTCCTGTACCCTTTCTTTCCTCTCATCCATGTATAATTCTAGATACTGGAGTGCGCGCTCCAGTTCACCGCACGCGAAGCTACCACGAGCTATAGTCAGTTTGTCGAAGTTGTCCATGAACGATTGGATCGCTCTAAAATCAAAGTTTTTACTTCTAAGAGCGGGTTTTTATGGCTCAACTCAAAACACTAGCAGTCGCCCGCGACTTCGTCAGCGCAGAAAAAATTAGTAACTATAACATGCCTGCATGCCTGCATCTACCTTTCCGTCAAAATCGACCCAGCCGTTTCGGAGATTAGATAGAATCGAAACACACAGGCAGACTTGAGAAAAAACTAGACGACGTCTGCAACTTTGTCAGAGCGGGATTAAAAAAAACTTAATAAGTAGCCTATGTGTTCTTCCAGACTATGTCCTATTTTATCAAGTATGCCAAATTTAATAAAGATCCATTGAACGGTTTTGCAGATATTTTCTAACAAACATCAATCCATCCATTCATCCATAGATCCAAACATTCGCATTTATAATAAGAGATTGGTTTTTACTTACGCAAATATATCATGTGTACGATATATGATAATTTTAAAATGCTACGCTAATACTAACTTGTAATTTTCATTCTCAGTGGGTCGTTGCTTCACATGACACCATTCCAAAAGCCATCGGTTCAGGAAATCAAACAACGAGTATATTGTTTTACTGCATCTGCTCT